AACAATTTGATCAACAAACATGCCACTAATATGTTTTATGCAAATATATAAGCAAATATTTATAGATTTAGATATAAATATAAGATAATTTGATTATAAAAAACACCTCAAACCAACAAACAGACAAACAAACAAGCAGACAAACAAACGAACGAACAAAAAAACATACAAACAACTTTCAAAGTAACAGAACTGTTATGTAGAACAGTTGTTGATACATCATAAAAAAAGTTCTAAAAATAGATGCACGGTATAATTTTTCTGTTTAAAAATGCCAGTTTTTCTATTCATCATCATCGTCATCCACATCGTCATCATCATCACCATCTACGTCACCATCATCGTATCATCATCCGTTTCAATACTTTCATTTCAACAAAACATTTCGATATCATCATCACCATCATCATCATCCTCATCATCATCATCCTCCTCCTCCTCATCATCATCATCATCCTCCTCCTTCTCCTCCTCATCATCATCATCATCATCATCATTACCAACACCACCACAACTACCAGGATGGATCGTTATAACTTCATCACTTCAACACAGGTTCAATTTACAAAGTTTGACTTCAAATGCCCATAAACATTAAAAAAACACATTTCAAGGATTATATCAAACTTGCAACTTTGCTTTAAAAAATTACTTGTAATAAATAACATTATTTTTATTGTTATTTTTTAAAGTGAAAATTGAACATTAGTAAACGTTATCACTAAGTTTAGGCATTGCTAAAAAACAAAGAGAAAAAGGAGAACAGTCGAAATTTCAAACCACGGTCTCAAATTAAAGTAGACAAAGATGAACTAAAAAGCACTTCAAAATGAAAAAAATAGGTGTCACTCTTCATGTAATGAGAAACTTAAAACACCGGTTCATGTGCCAAAACACGCACACACACACACTACACACACACACACACACACACGCACAAACACACACACAAACACACACACACCTGAACTCACACACACACACACACCTGAACTCAAACACACAAATCAACTGTTGACAACAGATACACAAGCGCAAGCCAACCGACAATACGTAAATTTTTCTTTCATTTTTTTTTTACTAACACACAATACTACGTACACACGTATTGGATGGGGCATTGTACTGATTCTGCTGTTCTATCTAGAAGCGTTGAACGCTTAACTTCTGTTTTGCGCGTTTCATACCTGCATATGCCTTGAGTATTTTGTGTATGTCTACCTTTGTATGCGTAAAATACAAAATTCTTCGATACATATATACATACACATACAAGTGTACACACATAAACACACACATATACATATAGACACACATCTATACAAATACATAAACATTGCTTCGTTGTATGATTTTTACATATATGTGTGTATTGCTTTATACTGTAACATTGTATACGTGTTACATGTGTATGTCTATATTGTACGTACGTACATTTTAATGTGTACATGGGTATTTTTGTGTATGGTATTTTGTGTGCATAAAATCTGCACGCTGAATTTTTGTGTGATTTTTGTTTTTTTTTTGCAAGATTATTTTAGTGTGAAATTAAAATTTTGAGACTGAGAAAAAAAATTAATTGAATTGGTTCAATTTTGTAAGACTTAACACACTCTAACACATCTGAACACTCTTTGATAATCTTTACATTATTTTTATTAGCGTTATTCAATTTTATAATTGAAGTTTTGTTATAATATTAAACAATAAAAAATTATTATTAACAAAAATGGGTGAGTTGTTTCTCGTTCGATTTCGATTATTAAACTTTATAACCTTTTAAACACTAACTAATACCCAACACACCTAAGTCGCTAATTGAAGTCATCATTCATTATTTCATGTACATGAACAATTGCAAGGTATTTAACGTTGAGCGAGCGAGTTTACAGAATTAGAATGAATTTTCCCAAGAACCAACTATGTTGTTCGTTCGGTAACCGTCGTAGAACGGTGAAGAGCGAGCAGTATAACAATTATTTTAAGATTTCTCAACTAACTTTACCCAAAATAGTTTATTGATATATTTAATAAAAATTACAGGCCTAAATGGGGTAGTCTTTTCTAGTTTCGTTTTAATAAATAATTTTATAAAATCATTAAAAATATGATTTATATGAATACTTAAAAACTGACCAATAGTAGTAATGACCGTAGTGGAAAAGTATACGGCCCCGGCAAAGCCCCACTGTACCCCGGCCTTGTGTGGCATGTACCTGGTCACGTGGTCCGTAAGCTCCTCCCACTCTACGTCACTCAAGTTGAATCTCAGTTTTAGATTGGTCCTTTCGAGGATGAGATCTTTCAGAATTCGTTCCTCCTTCTCTGATTCGAGGCGCTCGAAAACGGCTGCACCAATGAGAAGGTAGGCCATCATGCCGACAACCAATAGCAAGCTTCGTACGTTTTGACGTTTCATGGTTGGCTCACTGTCATTGGTTGTTTTGATTTTATTGGTTATTAAAATTTTACAAGCTATTTTTTTGTATAATCAATGTACATAAAAATTTTTCCAAATGTAGTTTCCATTTGGCAATTGTATTTTACAAGACCAATGTATTTTTATTAATATTAGAATAACAAACTCTTCTTAACATGAAATGTATTTTAAAAATTTTTGAAACCAAATAATAATTTTAAATTTTAAGAATTTTGAAACGAATTACTTAAATCACAAACTAAAATAACGACTGAAAGGAACATCGCAAAATGAAAAAAGTAAATAGGTGTAAAGGAAGAATAAAAGAAAACAAAAAAAAGGAAAGACAAAAAAACAAAGCAAAACAACAAACAAACAGAGAAAGAGAGAGAAAGAGAGAGAGAGAGGGAGAGAAAGAGAAAGAGAGAGAGGGAGAGAGAGAGAGAGTGTGTGTGTGTGTGTGTATAATTTTATAAGCATCTGCAGTCAAAATGAAAAAAAAACTTTTTAACTTGATGACAGTTAAATAAATAATTGTATAATTTTTATTTATTTCAACAACTGAACGAATGAACAAATCTAACATACCATCAACGACCATCAGCAAACTTTTCAGCAAATTTTTTGATCACACTGAGCGTGTTTGTAAAAAAATAAGTTTAAACATTGCAATGGAGACAATGTCCAATTATTTGATATCAAACTATCTGACTAATCGGGCTTTTTATTGAGTAGCCATATGCTAAATATTCATCTGATTACTCTTTCATATCATTTGATCATTAAATTATTTACTTACACAATCAATCCATTGACCCTTCAATTAACCAACCGACCAATCAACCGGCCAATAAATCAACCATCCAGCCAGACAATCATGGAAATAATTAAATTTATTAAACTTAAATTAGTTGTGTGTTGGTAAATAGTTTCTGATTCTAATTAACTTAATTCATCAATCTTATTAATATAATTCAATATTTAATAAAACTAACGTTTAGATAGAATTTGCCTTTTTCTTTCAATCTTTCTTTTCCCTTCTCTCTCTCTCTCACTTTTCTTCCATTCTTCTCTTTCTCTCTCTATTTTTTATTCTATCTTTATATTTATATGTTAGCATACTTGCGTATGTAAATATTATATGTGTGTATATAAGTAAAAATCATGAAACAAATTTTTAACTCTCCATTTCTTTCTCTCTCTCTCCCTTTCTCTTTTACTCTTTCTTTCTCTTTCTCTTTTTCTCTAGCTCTTTTTCCCCCTCTCTCTTTCTTCCTCTCACTTTCTCTCTAGTTTTTTTTCTGTGTATGTGTAAGTATGTGTATGTGTAAGTATTACGTATGAATGTGAGTTCGCATACGTTTGAGTGTGAAAGCCTTTGTGAATACGTTATGTAAGAAAGTTGTTATATAGAGAATAAGAATCAATAATATTTGATGTCAACAGCTGGTGAGAGAGATATTGATTGGGGAATGGAAAAAGAAAGAGAGAGAGAGAGAGAAAGAGAGAGTGAAAAAAGTGAGAGAAAAAGAGAGAGAAAGAAAAAAATATAGAGAAAGAAAAGATTATATCTGTTTGTGGTTCTTTTCATATTACATTTAACTTGAAAAAAGGCTTATGTTGATAACTACAATATTTGTGATGATTTGATGATGAGAAGACAATGATAACGATGGTGATGATGATAATGATAATGAGACGACGACGACGATGATGATGATGACAACGATGACGTGATGATAATGATGATGATAACGATTTCACTTACGTTTCGTTAAAAGTTTAAAGTTAAAATCCGGTTGTGGAGAAATGTATCGTTACGTAACGCTACTATTGGCCCGCGTCAAGTCAGCGCTCTATTAATGTTTATCGCCCCTCTTAAGTGTATTTATTATCTCTATTTCAAAAGTATTTTTTTAAAGGTCAGTGTGATTGTGATAATGATGATGATGGTTTGGTGTTTGAAGATGGTGATGATGATAGTGTTGATGATGATAGTATTGATGATGATAGTGTTGATGATGGTGAGGATGGTGACGATGATGATAATGATGTTGAAGATTAGAATGGTGACGCCGACGATGATGATGCTAATGACCAATATGATGATAGTGATGAGGATGATGATGATGATAATGATGTTGAAGATTAGAATGGTGACGCCGACGATGATGATAGTGATGAGGATGATGATGATGATAATGATGTTGAAGATTAGAATGGTGACGCCGACGATGATGATGCTAATGACCAATATGATGATAGTGATGATGATGATGATGATGATGATGATGATAATGACAACTAAGATAGTGGTGATGATGATGATGGTCACGAAAACTCGAAATGCGCAGATGATGACGATGATGACGATGAATGATTAATTGGCGGCGCAAGAAATTGATTGCAAGTGTTTATGATGATGATGAAGACGACGACAATGATGATAATGACGACGATGATAATGATGTTGTTGATGATGATGATGATAAAAATTTAGAAGACAATGGTAATATAATAAAATATAATATTAGTCTATTATTGTCAAACCAAATTTAAAAATATCTCAAGACACATGATTGATTGTTTCAAATGCAACTATCTGATTGTTTGGCTAACATTATGTTAGTAACATAAAAATAAATTTTTTTTTGTATAATAGATATATACTTGTAGATATATATCATTAACAGTATCATCATTGTCATCATATCCATAATCATCCTCATAATCATCGTCGTCGTCATCATCTTCATCGTCTTCATCACAAACTCAATTGTTTAACAAACGACCACATTAAAAGTGTCATGAAAATTGAAGAGCCTATCCTTTACCCAAATATCAATACAACCTATCTTTCATTTATTTATTCATTCATTCGTTCATTCGTTTATTCATTCGTTCATTCATTCATTCATTCATCAGTTCTTCTGTCCATCAGCCAAATCGTTCGTTCCAATAAACATTTGTTTAATTGCTTTATTATAAGTGCCGCAACATCATCATCATCACCATCGTCATCATCATCATCATCATCATATCATTTCGAAAGAAGGAATAGGAACCCTGGACGTCATAAAACTTTCCAACAAAACAAACAAAATGTAAATAATAATAATAATAATAATAACGAAACGAAACGAAACGATAATGTCCTCACAATAACAATACCGACATCAACATAACAACATCAACAGTTTTTTATGTGATTTTAAAAGTGTGTATCTATGTATAAGGTTTGTATGTATAAGTGTGCTTGCACGTGTGTGTGTATGTATTCATGTGTGAAGGTTTGTATGAATATGCGTGTATGTTGTATTGCATATTTTCAGCATCTAAAAATAAGTATACTCATCATTAAAAGTATTCAAGTGCATATTTATGGTATACACACACATTCACACACGTACACACGCATACAAACACACGTACGCACACAATCACCCACATACACACACACACACACACACACACAACAACACACATTCACACATAAACATACATACGTATTCAAATGAATCTAAACCTTGAGCAAACATTTCGCAGCATCCATTGCGATAAATATTTTGTACCTAGTATTACTTTCACAATGGAAAACCCATTTGTTCGTTTTTGAAAAATATATTAACTCTGATAATTTTAATAAATAAAAATATACTTAGTTGAATATTTTGTCTGCGTGAAGATTATCTTTGCAACGATAATATCATAACAATAATCTTTTCAACTGTATAAACAAAACTTGATTACTGATTTTTAAATCCATTTCATTTCAGAATTGTCCAATAGTGTTCGAACATGTCATACGCTTCCGCCATCATGCTTTTTAACTTTTCCACATTTAAATCCTGTCACAAAAACCTTAGCCAGTAACACAAATCCAATTGTGTCAAACTAAAAAATATAATTAATTTACTAAGTCTATCTATAAAATTTAAATATATTTCAATTTAACTAGTTGAATTAGTAGATTTTTCTATAAAATTTAAACTTTTTCATTCTAAATTTATCATGATTAATCCGGATTAATTTGATTTAACGAGATTAACCGTTAGCTAAAAATAGGAAGGTCTGCACGTTAAGAGCTAACGTATCCATTACATTGTTTGCCCCTTGAAAGGAAAAGTTTTCAATGCAATGAACTACATACGTCTGTTTGTGTTTGTTTGTCCGTGTGTGTGTGTGTGTTGTGTGTGTTTGTGGTGTGTGTCTGTCTGGTAGGCTATCTGTCTGTTAGTTTGCCTAGTTGTTTGTCTGTCTGTTTGCGGGTTTGTCTAGTTACTTGTCTGTCTGTAGGATTATCTGTCTCAATTTTATCTGTCTGGTTATTTGTATGATGGTTTGCTGGTTTGTTTGGTTTTTTAAGTCCTCTGTTTGTCGGTCTGCTGCCTATGTGACTCGTATCTAGTGCAGACTTGTAGCGGTACTCAAGTTCTTCGGACTGGGTGGTTGAAGTAAGTACAGGGTACTTAATGAATATAAGTATATAAACATGCAGAAAAAAATGTCTGTGTTAAAAAATGATTATTGATGGCAATGTATGAAAGTGGATCGGTAGGGATAGACTGAAATATCTGAAAAAAAAACAATTTCCAAAATAAAAACTGAATCATCCATAGCAATTGTATCGTTCTGCTTATATGTGAGTGTTTGAATATAAAAACATTTTTCATTTAAGTGCCTGTGTATATGTGTATATTATTGTATGTTTGTATATTTGTTTGTATTTGTATGTATGTGTGTTTGTATGTATGTATGTTTGTTTTGTTTTGTATGCATGCATTAAAGTTTGCTGTTATTGATAGACGGTCAATGAATGAACACATGCAGGGAACGTGTATTCTTAATTAGAAATTTCTGTAACTTGAATCTGAACTGAACACACACACACACACACATACACACATCATCATCTTTTTTCATCATCATCTTCCATTTCCTTTTTCTTCTCTTCTTGATCATCACCACCCTTAACCATCATTACCAGTATCATCATTATC